CCCCCCCTCCCCCCCCCCCTCCCCCGCAACCCCCCACCTCGCCCCACGCCCCGCCCCGCCCCCCGCCCCCCCCGCCCCCTATTCCGGTCTCACGAGAAATACTCTGGGGACGACGTTATTTTTATTGGGGAAAGGGATTAGTATTGCTGATGACGACGTCGGTCTTCATATGAAAACCAACCCCAATCTTGTTTTCCGTATGAACATTCACAACACATAGCAATGTTCATCTGACGGTTCGAAGGACTACTGACACCAATGCAAGAGCCAATGCATTTACATTGACATTCATTTTCAGATAAGTACTGAATTCAATTCTGGTCCGAATGCCGACAGGCTGCCAACACGAACGCTAATACCCATACTAAGTCCTAACACAAATACTAATTGTATTTATGCTGGTTTTATTTGAATACCAATAATAGTAATACTACTGGTATTATTTCCCATACTAGTACCAATACCAACACCGATACTTGGTTTGACATTCATTTTCCATGCTTATGCTCATGCCCATTCAAATCATATTACTGCCAGCATCACTTTGAATATTACGATATGCATCCATACTAATACGAAAGCGAGTACAAATTAAGAAGTTGAATTAGTCGTATTGCTTTTCATCCTGTGCTGGTACCAAGACCCACCCTCATCCTACACTAGTACCAATACCCATGCTAATGTGAATGCTACTCGTAGTAAGTTCTACTTCTTTGTATTAGTATTCATATTGAATGCAATACCAGCGCAAATGCAAATACCAATCCTAATCTTCGTTCTACTGACAGTAGTACTAGTTCTGCTGTTAGCACAAATACTACTACCACTTGTAATAGCAATACAAATTACAAATATCCGTATCTATACGAAAACCCATATGAGTAGAAATGCTATTCCTAGTCTTGATGTGAATATTGATGACGGATGCTGATGCCAGGACGATACGCCTTGTAATAGCGCCATTGTTACCATAACCTCCTCTTTTAGGTGCCGATATAGTTACTATAGTTTTTGCATCCCGGACGCCTTGGGATTGTGGCATTCCGACCACTGTCAGCCGCCAGTGGCTTCTGGGCTATGGTTTGTTTCTTCTGAATATTGGTTTTGATCCCAACCGGAACTTTGCTGTCGCGTGAAGGTCCATAGGCGCAAAAATCAGCCTTCCCATAGACGGTCTTCAAAGTTTGGTGTGAAATCGCGCCCTCCGGCGGAGAGAGCATGTCTGCACGGCCTTCTCTTGTGTGAAGCGTCCATTTTGCCTACGGAAAATCCTGATTAGGAGACCTTAGTAGAGCACCAAAAGTCACAACCACGCGAGCGCACATAAATGTTGATTCCATCTTTTCCAGCTACTCATTCTAAGGGTTCCTGGCTGTCCATTATCCTGATACGCAGCTACGACTCAAACTTAAAACCAGGATGCGTAAAGAACCCATTTCGGGATTGGGTTTTGCTTTTGAATGCCAATAGATGCACGCACACCATCAATCCTTCAAGCTGCGTTAGTTCCTACGGAGAGCGTGCTGGCAGCAAAAACCAAGCATTCGCCAGGGTTCTGGGGTTTGTTTGTGCCTCCTCCTTCCTACATGGCCCTCCCCTTCAGTGGACGCGGATGAATTCAAACCAAGAGATTGCAATACCAGGGTTCCCAAACAACATGCAGGGTGACAGTTTTGGTTTCTACAACAGAAGAGGCAAGAATTCCGGGTGACTTTGCAGCACGTCCACTACATCTCTAGCTGTGTGTAAACATTCGTAGCAGTCTACAGAGAGTAGCAGGTATTTTCAATTAGGGTACGTAAACGTAGTTGAAAGCATTGGTAATGGTGCGGCTGGAGGTGCAAATTCAGCAGTATGGCAAATGCAGCTGCAGCGCTTTTGGGGATTCTGCAAGGAAGGCTCGGACATGTTTCTGCACAGCAGGAGCTTCGCACCTTCCGAGCATGCAAATTTAAGGCGGCCTTGGGCCGTGCACCACCCTGTGCCATTCAGCGCCTCAACTGCGACTCAGTGACCAGAATGCCTTGGTCCGACAAGAGTTCAGAAACACACGGAAGGTCCTGGATGTCTTGTCGGCATGGCAGCCAACACTGCATCTCTTAGCACAACTGAACGGTTGGCGTCTCCATCCAACACCTGCCAGAAGCTTACTGTTCCCTGGTCCTTGCCAAATTGCACTATTCCTCCAGGGCTGTAGACTCTGTAGATCACTTGCTTAAACGTGCAGACGGCTTGCGGCGCCACTCTTCAGTCATTGTGCTCCACTGGAGGCAGAAAGTGAGCATGCCAGACCTCCAAGCCAAAGCCTGTGCCACTCTTCGCAGGAAGCTGGCGTCGAAGTGCTCTGCTGCTGGACACATTTCTCTCGGACCGGAGCTGGGCAATGAGATGGGCATTGGCAATGTCACCACAGGCCAGCAGTAGACCGACAGCGCTAAGCAAGAACGAAACCGCATTGGTGCTTGAACGCCTTGGGCACTCTCGTGTTTTTAAGTTCTAGCTTGCATCACCCTGAGGCTTGGTGTTCTGCGTGAAGCTCGTCTCGCCGAAGCAGCTTCAACCTTCTATGTGTCGAGTTTTGGCTAAGGTTGTGCAAGTCCCTGGCATCACCTGGAAGGTAGGGCAGGGCGGCAAACACGCACAGGAAACCGCGAGGTGAACAGTGTGATGACTCCATGTAGGCAGCCATGGCTGTCCTCAACACCATGCAAGAAGAGAGAGCAGATGTAGATGTCAAGGTCTCAGCATGTCTCAGGGCAGCTTGTCATGGACCTGCAGCATCTCAAGAATGCGTGGACTTCGGGCAAGGCCACGCTTCTTGCGGTGGTGGCGGTCGCTGGACTTGGCTATCTTTCACATGCAAACTACATGAGACGCACAGTCGTTGGATGTCCTTCGCCTTATTCGAAGCATTTATATGTGGCTTAGAGCTCGCTAGGTGGCTCTCGAGGACAATCATCAGTCGAGAGGACCGCGCATCAGAGCTCTCAGCTTTGGAACTTTTGTTTGGCCGAGCTTAAGAGAGAGGACTGTTTCAGCTCCAGTCGCTGCTGACAGATCTGGCCACAGAAGCTCTGTGCAAAGCTTATCCTGATGATTCGGTTGATTCCAGAGCTTTCGTAGTGCACGCACGCTGAGATCCACGTTGTCGCTGACATTTGCCCAGTGAAGAAAAAGAGCTTGCCTTGCCCAGCCTTGACACAAAGGCCGCGTTTCAAATTAAGCACAGCTGCGCAGGGGGCAAATGCAAAGCGAGCCTCGTGTCAAGTGCTCAGCTTCCCAAACGCTGAAGTCGGCTACACAAGATGAGGTCCTGGAAAACAAATCACTGGAAAATGGCAGCTGAGGTCCGAACACCCCAATCCCAAAGACGGGCAAGTATGTAAAGCCGCATTTGAAAGAGGCCATGGCCAACATTTGGATACGTCCAGCGCCTGCGCGGCTGAAGTTTTTTGCTCCAGTGAATGCGCAGGTTTACAAGTCCTTCCGGGATGAGTGGGTGGGGTTCCCGTTGAGTTTTGCTGCAAGTTCGGGCAGCCTGCGCCATGACTCTGACCACCTTCTTGGCGCAAGTTCAGCCGAGGTCAACTGCAACGTCTTTCGGTCTCCTGGGCCAATGCAGAAGCTCGCCTAACCTAGGGGCATAAACAGGCAAGTTTAATTGCAGGAAGAAATCACATGCAAGGCTTGATTCGTCTGGTGATGTGGGACCGCTGCATGGCGCTTGGGAAGACGCATGGTCAAGCAGCCTTCACCTGGACGGGCAGCGAGGTCTGAGAGACCCATCACCTTGCTGGCGGACTACTTCAGCCTTTGGCCTCGGCCAGAACAGGCCCCTATGCCTGTGTGGCCCACTCACTCCTGTGAAGAGCTGAGGTGTAGATGAGCTCAAGCAGATCGTGCAACCAAGCTCTCAGCCTGCTCCGTTGGTAATGTGCCAGGAGCCATTAGCCCCTGCCCTCAGCACCTTTTTGTGCGCCCAGCGTCGTTGCACATGTCCTTCTTCTTTTTCATAAGGTCGTTCGAGATGTGCGGTTACGCGAGAACTTGAGCTTACTGGAGCGTTGCGCTCAGCTGATTGCAAAGCCAGCAGCAGGGGCGGGCAGGCAATTGGATTAGGTTTGCATGGCGTTTCACGCTTCTGTCTTTGAACCCGCGAAGTTCCCCCTAGTGCCATGAAGAAATGGGATTGTCTGGACACGCACTATAGGTACAGGCAAGTCATGCTGTGCATGTGCACTGCATCCGAAGGAGTGTGCTAGACAGTCTAGGCAAGATTCTGCTAAAGGTTTCAGGGCAAGGCAGGTGCATCAGAGGGTTCCTCAAGTAGGACGAGAAGCATGATGCCGACCTGAGGCAAGAGAGGCTGATCTATGAGCCAGCCTTGCCAGGCCTGGACACGTGCAGTGGAACAAGCACAGGATGCATTGGCTTTGTGTTTGAGGCTATCTTCGCAACCAGGTCACTTGGCAGGCAGGCCGAAGATGCCGGGAAGGCCAACCCAAGACGGATTTCGTTCGCGTGGAATCCAGGAGGATGAGCTCGCACCGCACTCCTGCGACAATATTGAGGTGCAGTCTCTTTGTCACCCGGCGCACGGTCAAGCATCACGTCTGTAGGAGTTGGTCCAGTCTTTTCCCCTGATGCATGCCCACGTGTAGATGCCTCAGATGCCGTGCGTAAGACTTTCTGTCCACTTTGCGAATCGAATCTCCCAGGAGTGCGATTCGCCTCGTGCCTCCGATTGCCGCGGAGGGCGATGAGGTGCTTGGGAACAGATAGGTAGGTCACTGGCAAACTTGAGCATGTTTGATCTTCGAGTGCAATATACAGGCTAGAGGCGTTGTAACCCATTTAGAGCCAACACAGATGTATGGGAGACAAATTTCCGTGTCGCAGGGGAGCCCTTACGCAGACTTGAATTTCAGAAAGAGCACGAGGAGTGTCTGAACAGGTTGAAACATTGGTATCAGAGCGATCGCCGACGTCAACCATGAGACACACCGCAGGGTTGGAAGCTGAGCTTAAAAGCTCCTCAGGTTTAGTCGGGCAGTAGGACCGAAGGGACTCATTCTGCACCTTGCCAGGGCCTCGGAATATGGGAAGCCCATGACCGTGGGCATTGTTTTCGCTAGCAGCCAGGCCCGATGGTCGTTGGACACCTGTATTACACTGTATTCTTCCTGCAACGTCAGGATGCTTGAAAACTTGAGCCCTCGAAGGTGCCAGGCTACCATCCGGTCATTGCGGGTCTGTTCGATTACTTGCAAAGACCTCATGGCTTCTGGGGCTTGTTCAACGAAAAGCTATGGGAGTTGAGGGCCAGCCTGCCGCAGCCGACCAAGCTTATTGGCTTCTTCTGTGGGATGCTGCCTCAGAGCACCGACATGTTTGCCATTGGTCAGTCGCTAGCTCTACCTTTTTTTACCTTGCAGGTACGAAGGCCTGCTGAAAGACTTGTGGGCAAGCTCCTCAGAGCTGGCGCATGAAATCCACTGTTGTGTTCTTAAACGCGCTATGAGCTCGTTGCCTGCGTGTTGACATGTCATAGCTGCGCATGGTGAGGCACCAGTCACCCAGGACATGGTTGACCAATTCCGGAATTTGGGCGGACAGGATTGCATCCCAGCTGCGACGTAGTTACATGGAGCTCCTTCTGCCGAAGACTACGCTGCGGTGATGCGCAACCATCTTGGCTGTGCGGCTCATCCTGTGACTGGTGGACAGCTTGCAGTTAAGAAACATCCATGCAAGGCTGCACTGACATGCTCTCCTAAGTACAAGCAGCGCCGGAGCCAGTCAAACATGTCTCACCCCCCAAAACACACGCCGAACCTGCCACAGACTCTGCCAGGCATGCCGTCACTGAAAGAGCCTGTTTCTAACCAACATGTGCTTACATAAGCAGCAGGGCCACTCGGCCTTCCGCGGAGGAGGGCATTGATGTGAGTAGAGCCTCGTAGAGCCTCTCATGTTTCGCTGGTGCCCTGGCTGTGTCGGCGGCGGATGGCATTCGGCACCTTCCAGAAGGGCTTCAAAGGCCCGAGGGCTGTTACCCAGACCCACCGCCAACAGCTTTCCTTCAGCCGCAGGAGGTGGCTTTGGTAAAGGCAGCGCAGGCGGCTTCTGCGAGGAGGCCGAGATGCTGCTTGTGCGCTTTCAAACCATATCCTGTCCGACCCCAGATCTCAACAGTCAGGACCGCAGCCGAGACTGGCAATGCCCCAATAACTCATGCAGGGCCCTCAGAAGTTCACCACCTAGCATGTCTCCAACGGCATCCGCATCTGCAGGCAGAGAGAGGAATTTCGTGAAGCGCCCAGTGTGCTTCAAGTGTGGCACCCCAAGGCGGCGGAGAGTTGGGATGAACAGAGCAAGGAATTTCTGTCTACCTACAGAGCAGGCTTAGTCAGTTTGAATCAAGTGCCACTGTCAGTGGTGAAGCTTGCGTAGCTGTCCATTTCGGAGAACGGGCGTGCGTCTGACAAGGAGACCCGAGCACATGAGAGAGAGAGACAGGTGGTTCAGTAGGTGGGGGAATTTCAGGAGGGGGCTCAGCGCCATACAATGCTTGAAAGAAAGAAAGTGGTTCGGCATTCGGCAGTACTCCGGACCTCCCTGGCAAAAGAGACCAACGGACCTGCGGGCGGACTAGGGGTGCAACCCCCCCCCACGGTCTAGGCTCTTGCATGGCCCATAGAAGAAGAGAGGTAGAGAAATGCCGCTCGCAGTTCCAGGCCAGCAGAGGATGCACGCAAAGCTTCTCAGCCTCCGCCAACCTCTGGGACTACACTTCACGGCATGGCTTCCGGGACTGCATGTGGTTCCGAAACAAACCGCTGACGAGTTCTTCTGTGATCTTCTGATCCTGAGGTAAAAAGCTACAACAAAAAAGGGTTTCAAACTCAGCTTCCTGAGCATGTGGCCGCCAAGCAGCGGATTTTGTACTGAGGTTTGGCTTTATCATGTGCACGGGAAACTCCGACATTCAGGCACATCCCACAGACCATCAGGCACGGTGACCAAAGCCCTCCGCTTGATAAAAGGACCTGTACTTCACACGCGAGAATGTCAGCTCTCGCTTATTGCGCCTTGGCTGAGCTGAAAGATACAGGAGGCTCTGTGGTGCGAATCCTTTGAGGGTTCGGCTACCCTGGTTGCGAGGCATCCTGATATGCCGGGGGAACGGGTCACCTTCGAAATTGGTTATGAAGGTCGACGCATGGTAGCCAGGACGGGCCCATCCCGAGTCGCAACGACATTTCTGAGACTAGGTTCAACTGTAGCGAGGAATGTTCGGCCGTTTGGGGAGGACAAGCACACTCAAGCGGCCCGAGCCCTCAATCACCATAGTCTTTTTTTCTCTCACAAGGGCTCTTACGTGTTACCTCGCACTTAGCACAGAGTGACAGGCCATGGTCGCCAACAGCCATAAAGCAAGATATGAAAGAGGGTATGACGAAGAGGCCAGCACTGCAACCTCTGGAGATCCGTGTACCGCAGAATAGCCGTGTGTTGCTGCCCACCTCTCCATGCAAGGACACAAGCCGAGACTGGCATGCTGCTTAAACGTTGTTCATCCTTTCCTGTCTAGATGTGACCGCTTCTCTAAGGAATTGTCCATCGTGTAATGAGCGAAACTTCTTGAAGCGCAACGTCTGCTTCAAGTGCCAAACTCCGAAGCCAATAGCTGAAGGCAGCACGCACTGCTCTGGCTTTGATTCTTGTGCCCTCATGTTGTTTGATGCTTGTTTTGAGGGAATGCTTCTGTATCCGTTGTGTAAGATCCTCCTGGTGGTCCGGCTGCTGCGACAGCTGCTGCGCCGCCGCGCCGCACGCCCCGGCCTTGAGCATCAGCAGAACCGGGGCGAGCTTCGTTTGCACATGCTGGCTGGGTGGACGGCTAGGCCGGCGCTGGCCGCCGTGCCATGCCCTAATATTTGACATCAAATTTGCCTAAAACCCTGCAGAGAACAATCAAAAATCACCCAAACCACCAAGCAAGCTTTGAGGCAAAACCAATGAAATGGGGCCAAAAGCCATCATAAAACACACACAGACAAAACGGCCGCTGTGAAGCCGGCATCCGGGCTGCCTCAGCTCCATACTGCAGCCTGATGCCTGAGCGCGGTCCGGAAAGGCACCTTGGAGAAACACGGAGGTCCAATGATGCAGGGTCGGCAGCATTGACTTCTGCTTCATGGCGAAGCCAGGGCCATGGCCTGTGGCAGCAACCCCAGGGCGTTGCCCGATTTTAGGCCTAGTGGCAGGGGCCGGCCCTGCCGCCTTCGTACTTTGACGGCTTTTCTTGGGCTTTTGACCCCTCCTGGTCCCGATCAAGCCAAAATGGGTTTTCCGATTGTGATGATGATGCTTCTGTACGAGGCGCGCGGGCGCGCGCGCGCGCCTCTCGTACAGGAACATCATCAGCATAGTTGGGACCTCATGTTTGGCCGTTTGAAATTAGTTAAACTAGAGAGATCAGGACCTTCCTAGCGTTCAGCAACATTCCAGGTAGCAAGAACATAAGTTGTTTCGTACATTTCTCTCAATCAGGAGCGTCAGCATGGGCTTGGCTTTCACATGATGGCTGGGTGGGCAGGGGCAGGGGCTGCGAAAACCCACGCGCAAACCGCATAAAACCATCATAACACCAGTATAAAAGCTGCATAAAACCACCAGAAGTCCTGCAACCTATCACCCCATCCATCAATATCCCCATGGCAAAACCTACCATAGAACTTGGTTTCAACATCCAAGATTCAGGAACCCCATCAGGCCTGGCCCAGTGGGCACAGGCAGCCTAGAAGCCTGGCAAAGGAGAAACGGGACCCCAATGATGCTGATGATGCTGGCCAAGGGGGCCAGCATCATCAGCATCATTGGGAGTCCATTTCTCCTTTTTGGCCTCCCATGCACCCAATGACACCTCATCAAATCTAGATCTTCTCAGCCGTACCCCAAGAAGAACCTTGGCTAGTTTTCAAAAACGGGCACGTGCTCATGATGCAGATTGGGGTCCGGGAGGGGCCCTGGGAGAAACGGAGGTCCGATGATGCACGGAGGGGGGGAGGGGTCGGCAATAGTGGTGCGGATGCACGCCTAGCTAGAGCTATGCTTTAAGGGGTGGACGCCCCAACTGCCGACCCCCTCCTTGGAAGCCCTGGAGTCGTGTTTTGGGGGTCAAAAGTTAGGCTGATTTTGGGCTGCAGTTTTGAAGCTTCCCCCAACGGTTCGGGGCACTTTTTTGGGGGCCAGCATCATCAGCACAATTGGGCTTTCGTTTCTCACTTTGGGACACCTCAACATACATAGGGTTTTGGAGGGGTGTTGGACCCTCATATGTGTGGTGTCAAGAAGGAAATCGGGGGCCCAAACAGGCGCCATGATGCTCATGATGCTGCTGGGCGCTTAAAATGCCCTATAAACTATAAACCCCAACAAAACACTCAAAATACACGCTGTGGGCAGTGTATGTGGCTGTAAAAACCCGTGTTGGTAGGATCGATAAGCATGCCACAGATTTGGCGTGCATTGCCCAGGCCAAACCTTATAAAATGTGCATATTGCATGGTTTTGGGGTGTGTTTTGCCCACGTTTCCAGCACGTTGGTGGCTCCTATAAGCTTGTCCAATACGCGAAATGCGGCTGCTGCTTTGCAAAAAACTGCACTTGGAGGCTAGAACATGGTCAGCCTGCGCGGAGAACCATGTTCAAAGTCGTCTTTAATGGTTTTTCTTGGGTTTATGACACCTCCTGGTCCCACTCAAGCCAAAATGGGGTCCCAATTGTGCTGATGATGCTTCCGTACGAGGCGCGCCTTCTCTTCGTACAGGAAGCAATTGGGACCTCATTTTGGGCCGTTTTCAGTTAAACTAGAGAGAACAGGACCTGGCAAACCTAAAAAAACATCCCAGGTCGCAAGAACATATTTTTTTCGTCAGATTTCTCAATCAGAAGCATCAACAGGGCATGGCTGGGTGGACAGGTTGGGCAGTGGCCAGGCCGGCACTTGCCGCCAGGACCTAAATAGAGCTAAAGCTCTAGACACGGGCTCCACCCTGGACCACGGCGGCAGGGCCGGATTAAAGGGCTGACGCCGTTGTCGCCGTTCCCGACAAATTTACAGGGTTCTGCGCAATGAGCTTTCAAGCTTTCTCGTAATGACTGCGGCATCTGGGGTTATTTCTATGTGCAGCGTTGCAGGCCACCGAAGTAGATGCGCACCTAGTAAACAGGCTTGAAGGTGTTATCCGAAATGCCGCGCTCTCTGGTTTGTCCTGTTGCTCAAACTCCGGGCAAGAAAGTATCCCCGTGGAGCAATGGTGACTACAAGGGATAGCTGGGGCCCCAAAATTAAATTAAAGCAAATTAAAGTCCAGCTCACATCATCTCACATCACTATTCTGAGCCTGAACAAGCTGGCCGCAAAACACATTAAAGCAGGCGCAGGTCATCCTAGCTCCAATGGCTCGCTCGGCCAACTGGCATTTCAAAAAGCGGGCGCGCAGCTGCACACCGCCAGGCACTTCAGCTCGCCAGTTCACGCGCGCGGTTTTTCGTTGTAGGTTTGTTTCGTCAGCGTAGATGACTTTGACCTGGCCATCTTCTGGCGCTGTCGTTGCAGTCGTGCTGTATTTTTGCCGTTGGTTGAGGGTGGTTTGGAATTCCATTCATGCAGCTGTTTTCGGCGGCATTTTCGACAAGGGTACATTTGTGGTTTTGCTTACGCTGCTGCTGTTTTCTTGAAAAAGGGCCATTGAGGCAGGAAAGAGGGGGGAAGAGGGGCGGGGGCAGGGCGGGATTTTGGCATACGTAGTTTGGACGGGTGAGGCGGGATTTGGGCGATCGAGGGCAAAGGGTGGAGGGAAGGAGGGGGGGGGGGTGAGAGGTGGGAGGGGAAGGGCGAGGAAATGGCGGGGAGACGAACGGGGGTCAGGGGAGACTGGATTGGATGCGGGCCAGTTTGGCGTGAAATCGAACCCCGCAAAAAACACAAATTTGGGCGATTAAGGGTGGAATGTTGTTATGCGACAAATGAGTTCCAGTTAAACTGCATCATGAAAAACCTACTCCATGAACCATAGCCGCTTCACCATCCTAAGCCCGAAGGCGAAGCTGGAAAAAGGTGCCACAGAAAACCTAAACCGCCACCCTATACTGCAAAGCATCAACCTTAAACCTGGGACCATGCACTTTACAAACCCCAAACCAACAACCAGTTGGATAAGCTTCCGCGGGTGCACGTGGACATCGATGACCTCTAGTTTCTGCTAAAGGGCCTTACATGGATGCAGGCGAATAGGCACTCGGAAAACCAACAAACAAACTTTGACTTTGACGCTTGGTGCAGGTGTCTGCTGTGAACGCGCCCCAGCATTGCGTGGACCCGTCACGTATGTGAAACAACAAAAACACACTGGGCAACTCAACTGTGAGCTGAGAAGCCGCGCGACACTACACTACATCAAATCAACTAATTACGCGAAATATGGCTGACATGAAAGTCAAACCTCCAGTGACATGCTGAACGTTGCGTGAATATGTCTTGCAATGTTGCCCTGGGATCCGGGGAACAGCAATGCTTGACACGAAATGAAACACGCTTGGTGGGACGGCTATGACCAATGATATACAGAGAACGCGCATTCACCAACAAACAAACTCAACTGGCACCGCAACCGCAAGTTAAGTATGCGCTAATCCAGAAATCGTGATTCTAATCCCTACTGTGGTCTTAAGCCCTAAATTGTGTTCCCTGGACCCTAAACCATCTAAACTCGAAACCTTAAACAGAACTTAAGAGACCTAAACCCTTACTGGTACTGTACCGCCCCGAGCCCTGACCCTGAACCCAGCCCCAGAAAAGTTACAAGAAACGTGTGTGAAATCGTGCATGTGGCAAGTGGCCCCGTGACCCTGCTTTGGGGAAGTCACCAACAATTCCTCTCTTCTCCCGTCGTGACGGTGTAGCTCGGGCAGAACTGGCAGCCCAGGTGGCGCAAACTTGTTGAATCACATCTCCGGTTTTAAGCATTGAGCATTTCATGGTTCAGCATAAATATGTGTAACGCCTGCTGTGAGTTACCTCTGTATTTGCAAAGCAGGAGGGAATTGGGGTGGGTGAGCCTCGACCATGTTGAGGCTTTCTCCGCATGCTGGTGCGCGTGCCATTAGAGAGGCGGATGTTTGTGGATTGGGCTCTCCTGCCGTGAAGTACCGTTCGCCCTGACAAAGGCTTTAGCCGCAGCACGCGGTGCCCCAGTTGAAAAGGAGGCAGGCAGCGAAGCGAGCAGCAGCCCGCGAGAGGCTCAGGCATGCACCTTTGGCGGTCATCGGTATGGCTCCAAGAGCCAAGGTCCAGTGCCAAAAAGAAGAAGGAGAAGAAACATAAGAAGAGGCTGCTTTTGTTTCGGTTGCTCCATGCACTGCTTTCAGCAGGTCGCGCAGCAATGCCACGCCTGGCAGGAAAAAAAGCAGCTCTGGCAGTTCATCTAGCAGTCGAGCAAAAAAGAAGGCTAGCCTGATCCTGCCGAGACGATAGCTACCATGATCTACTGTATTTCAGGCAAAAAAGTCGCATAAGAAGAGCAAGTGGCGGTCTCAGCAACTGGTGGCTTGAGAGAGTAGCCGCACTGCTTACCTGGTTGCTCTATGGGAATTCCTTCTTGTTTCCAGTTCATTCTTTTCAGGTGTCCCAGAGCAAAAACAGGTTGGCAAGAGGATGTAGTTGAAGCATTGGGGACCCAACAAGGCAATGCTCGTAGTATGGTCCGGGAGGCTTCGGAGCAGGATGGCACAAGTTGAGTGTCCCAGCAGTCCGGATCCGCCAGCTGCAGCATTTGACGAAGCATGGGACAGACTACATAGCAGTTCGCCTGGGCTTGGGCCTTCTCTATTTCTCGCATGCGGCTTTCTGATGAGAACGGGATACTACTGTTGATCTCAGATGATGCGACGCTCGTGCTTGCTGTGGATGCGCAAGGAATCATGGATCATCATCCAGCGGAGATTCGGTCAAAAGCAGCAAGTCCAGGACAGAGCAGTACAAGTCTCCGTGAGGTGCTTAGCGGCTTAGCGTGCTAAACGAATACTCGTGCACCAGAGGAGCAAGTCCAGCAGCAGTGGCTGCGTGATGGAGGAACCTGCGCACCAACCTGCGCACAATCCCCGGCATCATGACATCATTCTCAACAATTCAGCCTGGACTTTCATCCATGTTGAGGCCTGCCAGTGCAAATCCGGACATAGACAAGGCCGTGCTAGATGGACGTAGAAAACTTCTTCTCGCGTAACGAACAAAATTACCAGGCTAAAAAAGAAGCGCTCGAGCAGCTGCTGAAGCTCAAGCTGCATGCTTAGACTGGGCAAGCGTTTCTGGCCCGTGCTGCAATGCTTAGCTGCAAGGTCTGTGGAGCCAAAAGAGCAGAGGATGAAAGAATGGCGCGAACTGCTCCGGCATTGGCATCCTGACAAGAACCCTCACCGGATCGAGGTCTGCCCAACCGTGAAGCTTGTGCCAGCCAGCTGCCAGCTGAAGCCTTTGCAGGTCGCCACGGCCGTGTTCCAGTTCTTGCAGAAAGGGAAACCAATGCTTGAGGGCGGATGACTTTCAGCGAGGCATAGAAAGAACCAAGCAGGAGTTCAGTCATTCAGTGGAAGGGTCTGCAGAGCCTGGAAGTCATCAGAATGCCACCCTTCGGAGTATGGATCTCTTGAGCACTGAAAAATTATTTCTGTATGCCAACAATGCCGGGGCGAAAGCCCCTCTTGAGGGCACGGTTCCACGTGCGATTCCAATTTCCGAGGTCCGAGGGGTATGTTTCTCTCCACGAATTCTTTTAGACGTAGCTTGATCCTCATGGATCCTCCTCGCTGTCCAAAAAAGAGGCGATTCCAGCTGCCAGGTCATTCATGCCTGCAAGCTCACTTCTCGTTGGTGGAAGAAGCATGAAGATGCTCTGAGGACATATTATGTCAATTTGGTGATCCATCAACGCTTGCCTTCAAGGACCACTTGCAGGCCAGGGTTCCCCCACACGTCAAAGCTGAGTATTGCGTGATGATGTGGAGCCCCAGGCTGCAATCGAAACAATTTCACGTCACAAGCTGGATGGCCTCGTCATGGTTGGAAACGAAGCAAACCAGGCACTTCTGCTAAAGTACAACCTACATGGAGTTGGTTAGGGTATACAGATGTCTTCAGCCGTGGAGGTGGATTCGGCCTTCCTGGCGGAGGAGCGCATGGGCTTTTTGCAGTGAGCGTAGCGTCCCACCCATCATAGGCTTGCAGCAAGGGAACGGAGAGCATTTCGGGGTTTGTAGGTCTTTGTTGGCCCTGGTGTTGCAGTCATCTTCACTGTTCCTGTTTTAAGTACATGAAGTACACTACGCAGTTTTCGCGGTAGTAGACGAGGTAATGCTTGCAGCAGCGCTGCATTGGAAACAAGGTTGAGCCGGCATTGCAGTTGGCAATAGCAGTGGCACAAGCAGTGGCACTAGCAGCAGAACCTGCGGCAATAGCTGTGATGGTTCTGCTTATTGAAGCGGCCAGAAGCCGCAAGAGCACGAAGCCAAAAGAAACTCGGCTGGAAGCCATGGGGCCTCAAGGCAAAAGGCCCAGCATTCAGTGTTCCCAGAAGCCACTGCGCAGCCCAGCCACCGCATGTCCATTTTGCTGCTGCTGCTGCTGCTGCTGCTGCTGCTGCTACGACTACGACAGCAGCAAGGAGGAGGAGGACGAGGACAAAGACTCCGACTGTTGCTGCGACGACAGCGACAACTGCACGGCTGCTGCTGCTATTTATTACTACTCTTACTACTGCTACTATTTCCTGTTTATTTTTTTTTATTATGATTACAATTACTCCTACTAGTAGTAGCAATAGTGGCAGTAGCGTAGTCGTAGTAGCAGTACTAGTAGTAGTAGTAGTAGTAGTAGTACTAGTAGTAGGAGACCCGGCTTTATGGTAAACCCTAGGATCTTTAGGGTTCAGGGTTTGGAACGGTAGGTGTTTTCTCCCAGATGTGGGGCTTTGGGTTTACAGAGGTGTCTCAGGTTTTCGGTTAATCTGTGCGTTCAGGTTTGGTGGCCTAATTGTGCTAGGATGTGTTTTTGTTTTAATTAGGGTTTAGGGCTTAGGGTTTGGCCAGGTTGGAACCATGCACCCAGCGAGACAACGCCATGAATGCCAGCAATGTAATTTTCTTGATTGAATGCCTGAACGGGCTATGGACGTGTTTATCCCCAGCACACTTCCTTCCACTCACGCCCCCTCCAGCACACGAACGTGCCGAACTTGTTGATAGTTCAGCATCTTGCTGCTTTTCTTGCTGCAGCCAGGCAAGGGTAGTTTGTTTGGTGGGCTCTTGCCACCAGCTGCTGCTGCTGCTGCTGCTGCTGCCACAAGTACTACGACAACGACAGCAGGACACCACTTCCGCTCTTGGTCCTGCTGCTGCTGCTGCAGCTGCTGCTCTTGCTACGAGGGAGCTGCTCTACTGACTGAAACTTTTTCCTTACTCGTAAGTTGAGCTTTTGGCTTGTAACACTTCTGTGCTTCGAATACATCTTGCGGTCGTAAAAGTGAGGAGGACATTGTCGCACTGGTTGGGGGCACTACCACTTTCTTTGTTCCTGCCAGCGCTTCCAAGGTTGCCATCATTCTTAGCCAGTATGTATGTGCACTTTCGTCGTGATCCCAGTTGTCACTGTTGGGTGCAGCCACCATATTCTGAGCTCAGAAACGCTACATTTGACCTACTTCCTAGCTTTGTGGAAGTAATTTTCTCCTCATCTCAGGTATGTTTTTCTTCTTGCTCGAAGGTCCTCCTCTTTACCCGTCCTCCCACTGAAGCCACGTTATTCCGCCCTGATTTTTGTGGGTCCTATCCGTATTATGATAACAAATGTGATCATTAATTCTAGAGCTGTTAGTACTAGCATTCCTAGAATCAAGCACTCTTCCTCTGATGGTTGCCTTTCTTGTTTTTTGTTGATTCCATTTCTATTGCCTTGATTGCCAGTTTCTTGACTTGTGTGCTTCACGCGTCTGCCATCTAGAATAGCAGAGGTATTGCTAAAATCATTGTCACTTCGAAGTTCTTGAAAGGAGCGTGCTCTGTTTCTAGCAGCATGATGACATATCGTATCATTTTCTTTCAGAAGCAAGAACCCAAGCCAAACTGGGCAGATGGTGCCAGGCCTGCGCAGCTTCTCGGTTGAGCACCAGGGTCATCGGCGTGCCAGTGCCCTCTCGCCTCAATATCATTGATGGGAATGCATCCTACAGAAGCTTGGGATTTGGTTTTTAGAAATGGGCTGAAGCACGAACCTGGTTGGTGGCTGTTAGCGCAAGGAAATAATAGTTTGGGATCGCAACAGAGAAGCCGAGTCAGCTTGAAATCAATATGCATCGCGGGGGGCCTGGTAGAGTTGAACTTATAAAGTTTGTTCATGTTTGTTCCACCAGACTGCTCAAATAGCCTATGCTGGTTGTTAAGTGCATCGGCCGCGTCGAAGCTTCCGCGGTGGCGAAGGCACCGAAGGCTTCCAATGCCTGACTCAAGAAAACGTCCATGCCGCGAGCCAATGCCAGATGTCATTTTTGTGTTAGGGCGCTGCATTTCTCACTTGGCATACGTCAAGCACTTCATTGCGCTTCTCCTCAAAAATGGTCTACTTTTTTTGGTTCTGAATACCTTGTCACATTTGCTCAGGGTCACCAGAGTCACTTAGGGTTACGAGGGTGCAGGCTGATTAGGGTAGAACGAATCCAAGCATACACGAGACGGTGAATGTTTCATGGTGAAGTAGTCGGACGATTGATTACGGACACTTTTTGTCGAACATGTCATGGAATTGTCGCCGAATTATATGCCCTCGTATAAATTATCCCTGCAGGGACAGAACATAGCACAGTCTCGGAGTCCTGCTGGCCTCTACGCGAATGGTTTGCTTTGCCGCTCAAGCAGCATGTCTCCTTGTTTTTGTCTTGGCCAATCCCCAGCTTGAGACAAAGCTGCCTACAGAGGAAAAAGAAGGGTTTCCATTCTCTAAATTCAAGGTGTGTGGGGTCGAGAGCTATCAGTGGATCAGCTATTTCTGGTACAGGCTGCACAGTCCTCCGTTTCGTTCTATCGACCTTGCCTGGAAACAATTTCATGCGGCAGCTTATTTCCTGGAGGGCGCCATCATGAAGTTTAATCGCAATCATGGCCCACGGATTTCTTTTGAGCAGCTCAGTCAGCAAGAGCGGGCTAGTCATGTGTGGAGCTGACATGGACTTGAGTTGCTGGAGGCTGACAGAAAGTTTGGCATTCGCCATCTCAAAAAGAGTGTTGCCGCGCCCCAAATAATCAGTCGAAATCGCAAGCGCGCTCTCTAGTGACATAATTTCTGCCCTTGTCAGTTTCAGCCTCTACGTCGACAACGCCGTGACGGCTCAAATTGAGAAACCCACTAACTCTTCTGGATTCTTTTCGCCCGGCCACGCGTTTGTCTAACGGCCTCAGTCTGGATCCTGGCGTTCCGGCTTGACAGGAACATATACGGACTGCTCACAGCTGGGTTGGTGTAGAGGGGCGAGCTTGAGGAAATCATGCTTTTGTGCCTGATGACTGGCACTTTGGTTGTGCGCTGCATAGTCGTGGTGCCCCCTCTTTCTTTGACCTGTTGTGGACAAGGGTGCCCAGCAAGACTGCCGACTGTGAGATGAGAACTTGACCCGTGGAGGCCATCAAGAGAAACCACAAGGAAAAGCCACCCAGCACCACTCAACAGTGGGATCTGTTCAAAAGAGCTGGCCAGATCCAGGGCCAACCCACGTGAGTGAGGCAGTGGGACAATTTGCAAACATACCGTAGATCCGGATCTCTTGCAAGCGGTCGTGCTAGACCCTCGGACTGGGAAGGACATTGGAGGGTAGTGAAGACTTAAGCACCAGGAAGTGCGCGAGCTTTACTTGTAAAATCTTGTAAAGGACAGTCCAGGCCGGAAAGCTTTTGTGAGAAAGGTGCAAAGTAACAAAACTCTGGGCAACTTCCTGAGGAAGCCTGCTCAGACAGGCAGAGAGCAGACGGCCCTGCCATCACCTGGCACGTTTGGCCTCGAATCGGTTGCGTGCGTCGCTGCAATGGGAAAGCACGCTGTGACAGTGGTGCGGATGAACCCGCACGCATTGTGCGAGCTGTTCCCTCGCCTCCATTCAGACCTCAACTAGCCTTGCTACATCTTGCTACGGCTGATGACAGCACAACAGATTTTGGGTTTTTGGGAATTGAGAGCCTAGAGGATGACAAAGGCCAACTCGGAAATATGGCCTCCCTCACCAGTTGCGGCAGGAGACCCCACTTTGACCTTCAACTCACGATGAGAATTGCCTCATATCACCTCGCTTCAACCGTTCCACCCACCTCACGTCCACTACATCACGTTGTCAGCTTGACTATGCGGTTTGCGTTGTGGCCGATGATCGCGTTTGTTCGGGTTGCCTGGCATCAAGAACGAACATACTTCCAAATAGGGCCGGTTACCTCGCCAATGTTGGAACTCTTTTATACAAGCGATCCGGTTTGATATATTTTCGGACACATTATTGAGAATCTGGTCTTGTTTGAAGGGCCTTAATTATAAACGCTATCGCGCGCCCGCCTCGGCTGGCGGGGTGCGGAGCACAGGAATAGGTCATGGCATGTAGTTGACGCGCGGGGTTTAGGGTCGAGGGAGTAGCGGAGGCAAGCCTTGCTTCAGACGTGATGTATTCCTTGCCTAGCTTACAGGAAGCCGCCAGTGCATTCTTGAAACATGTCTACCCTCCCCATTTTCCCCTGAAGCCTGACAATGTCAACCTGTGTGTGGGGTTGGAGCTGGTGTTCGGAAGCCAGCTCCATTGGGTTGCTCACACCAAGGGTTTAACCTGCGGATATGATAGTCCGATAAATTTATGTGCGCCTTTCATGTCGGCGCAGCCATTGCTGCAAAAGTATGCAATTGTGCTTGGAGCGTTCTCGAGGTGCAAGCAACTCAGCTCCTCATGGCATTGGATCATGGTTTCCCTGGCAGATGCTACATTCAAATTTACACATGAAGCTGGATATCCGATGTCTCTTGTTTCCAGGTGGTTGAAAAACTGGTGCATGACAGTGTTTGGCAGACGAGGGCTGCAGCTTCATAAGGATGTTGTTGCTCGAGTTGGCCAAAGTGAACAGCACACAACCCCCTTGCATAGGGACTCATTCCAGTCAGATGTTGTCTTCTGTCCTGTGGGTGCCACCGACTGGAGATGTGTGTAACATCGATGTGCATTGACTCACCGCTGCTAGTAGGAACCTGACTGCCAGCGCACTCGCCACCAGGGAGCAAATCGACCAAACAGGGCATGTCTGGGAACGGGATGGGAGTGTTTTGTTTGTTGAAAACCTTGGAACTACCCACATGATATGAGTGAGGGGATGCTTCATGTTTGCATGTTTTTGTCACGTGTTTGTGTCAGTGTTTTTGCTCCTTGGTATCTGTTAACGCATTGAGTTGATGACAGGATCTCAGTGGATGCATGCCTCTTGATCAAAAAACTGCCGCATGTGTATCTCAGTGTTTGTGATCTTGGTGTTCATTACTGCATTCCATTGCAACTTGCATCTTCGTGAATGAATGGCTTTGTGTGTTTTCTTTGTTCATGTAGTGTCGATGAGCAGGTTTCGGCAATGAACCGAAGCACTTGACGTGAAGACACGTGTGTGATATTCCAGTCCCCATGTTGTCTGAGGTTCCCGGGGTTGCAATGCTATCGTTTTGAGTGAATGAAAACATGACATGTTAGGGTAAAGCAACTTGGTCGCTTGATCAAATGACCCCCTTTGACATCCTTGTGCTCATGTTGCATGCATATGAGCCCAAACGTTTGATTAAAAAAAACCTTGTGACGTTAATGTGCTCATGTTGCATCCGATTGCGTTAGGAGGAACCTTGCAGGCAAGTTGGCAGGCAAGTCGCCCCGTGCTTGATATGTATGGTCTCCGGCCACTGGCCTACAGTCTCCGGCCACTGGCCACAAATTGTAACAAACGATACGCTCAGTAATGCCGTCTATCCGGATTTAGGTGTGGCAACAAGCAACGCCCGGCAGGGTGGAGTAACAATAGTTGCTTGCCCACATGCGGCTCCCTGCCAGGATTTTTGTTTTTTGAGGCCCTAGGCTCAAACAGGTTCCAAACGAAGGGATGTACCTAGGGTCTCTGCCACTGGCAAAAATGGATCTTGGCCATGCGCCGCAGTTGTTTGTGACTATGATGAATGCCTATTCCAGCATTTCATGGAAGGGGTTGGCTGGGCTTAGTCCATCAGCCTTTAGTGAGGGGGTTCGCAAGCTTCGAGAGCCGCAACCGTAGAGCCTTGTGTTCCAGTGTCGGAAACTGCAAGTCCCCAAGTGCAAGTCGTTGCGACTCACCGGATCCTGAATTTTCCTGACCATAGAAGAAGGCGGTTTCGACATACGACATACGCAGAAGCAGAAGGCAGACTACCGCCACATAGCAGGGGGAGGGGGAGGGGGTGGGGGGGATGGTCAGGCTGGACGAGGTCCCCACCAGAGGGGGGGGGGTCGCCTGCCAAGGAGGTTCGGGAGTAAACGCCCTGAGGCTGGGTAGCCTCGGCGAACTTAGGTTTACTTCAGCTATGAAAAAAACACAGGGGAAACAGCTTGCAGGTGCTCTTTGAGACAGTTTTTTACCGCGGATACCTTTCAAGACTTTAAAGCTACATGGCCTGGAGCCTCAGGCCTTAAAAGATTCAAATTCCAGAGTTCTAGCACCAGAGCCTTTACCTAAAAGGCCAGATATCGGAGACGCCGCAAACTGGAAACTACGGGAACCCAGATCCACAAAAACCGCTTATTCGGTATTATACAAAACATTCAAGTTGCCAATTTAATTTTGTGCAAGGGGTAGGGGAGTCCAGCAGAGGCCCTTGGATTCGCTTTGAGCAATTGTTTCGAAGGGCCGGAACAAGAGCATACAGTAGCATCTCTTTTCAGCTTCCTAGATCTTGACCACGGCACCTAGATGGTGATTGATTGTAATCCGCTTAAATAGGTCTTGAGTGGAGTTTAAGTTTAAATTGACTTGGATTTCGAATTGACTGTCAATTGATATTACTTCCTTGTGAGTTTTTGAGTTGAATCTGTTGTGATCTGATTTCAAAATTGACTTTGCTCAGAATTCACTTGGTTGCACAAAGATTCCAATTTATGTCAATCCTTTTTTTTCCGTCGGTTTCAATTGGATTTTACTTGGTTTTAATTGTGAAAATCCCTAACCTGTAAAACCTCTAAAGCCTAAATCCTAAAAGCGCCCCAAACTCTGGAAACCAGAAAATATATTAACACTCGTTTCTGGCGTACTACTCACATTATTCCTATTCCTATTGTTCTTCTTCTTACTATTACTACGACGACGATTACTATTGCCACTACAACAATAACAACAAGTACTACTACTACTACTACTACTACCACCACCACCACCACCACCACATCTATTACTACTGCTACTGCTACTACTTCTACTGCAATTGCTTGCTACTCAAAAGTATATTACGCATACAAATCCGCATGCTACTGCTAACGGTGGTGCCTACACTTAGCACGAATACGAGAAATGAATACCAGCTTCAAGGCTACTGCCAAGGTTCATGTTTCTTTTGGTGTGATCCGTGCGGTAAATTGGCAAACTTAGGGGGTGGCTCCGTATCGCAGACAATAGTCAATGGGGGCCGCCCCCTCCATACAAAAGAGGGTCCAACATTACCTATATACTGCGCAGAGTACGTTGACAGGGGCATCACAGAAGTAGGTTGAAGTGGTTGATGTGAACCTAGGTGGCCAGTGTGCTGTTTCGATTCCCTGTTGCTTCACTTAGTGCATCGGACAAACTGGCACGCAGTGGGGATCGCAGCTCTTTTCTCTGTCCTATCCACGTGGCTTTCGAACGCCGCAATTCACAACATGTTTCTGTTAAACTCCACTTCCGACTTCTCATTCAGACCACAAGCAGCGCGCGGAAAACCAGGCTGACTAAAAGAAACCAATAAAAGGGTTTATGGAATTCTGGTGTTTGGGAGGCCATGCTGCCTCGGCCTCTCCAATGTTTGTCGTGAATTACGGGATCTGGACTGAGGATGCGTTGTTCATTGAGGGTTTCTGCGCTTGGCGCCAGAAGTGGTCTTCGAGTAATAGCGGAACAAAGGAAGACGCAAATGCATGCTGGCAGAGCAGTCTGACCAAAGATTGTCCTCAAACCTGATGGCCAGGTATCACTGGATTGCAATTTCCCATTCGTGCAGCAGACGATTGGCTTTGACACAGTGTCTCGTCGGACGACCGTCTCAAGATGGCATTTGTTGCTTGTGTCTAGCTTTGATGGATGACTGGCAGCTTGTAGATGATTTCCATTGTTTGCGACAGGTGACACGAACGCTGTCAGCATTCATTGGTACCATTGGCAACCTGGTCAAAACATCGAGGACATGTCAGCAGCGGTCTCATAAAGCAACACTCACCCAGTCACATGCCAGGAACATGTGGATATTCGTCCGGACAATGGGCCACTTGACGAGCTGTGTCACAGCATGTTTCCAGCACCTTCGCATGCCGTGCAGAATTCCTCACTTGGCACGGTCGTGACTTGCACCATGCGATGCTGACCGAATTCAGGCAAGACTACAGGCGAATGAGAGACGGGAGAAGTAAAGACGAGCCCTGAAATTGATAATGTTCAGTCTGGCGTTGCAAAAGTCGTCCATGCAATGCGAAGCATTGCATGACAAATGTGTCGCAGAGCTAATCCAGTTTTTCTTGGACTCATGAGGTAAGCAGTTGCGTTCGTGTGAGTCTCAGACTTCAGGTGATGCCTGGTCGCACGTGGCAGCAGCGTGCACAGACTTTTGAACATGCAACATCGTCTGAAGACTTTTCTTAATCACCATGTAGAGATGGCATTCAGGTCCAGATTGCCTTGCAGACTCACGTCCACATGGCACCTTGGTGTCCAGTATGCTCGTGCAGGGGAGAGTTCAGATGGCTTGAGGCAGCATCTGTGGCTAAAATGTAATGCAGGTGAAGCGGTGGGGTCTGTCCGCTTAGCTTTGACAACCTGGGGGCCACGCAAACAACACCTAGAACATGCATGCAAATGTGGCAGAGTAGGAAGTCTCACGCACAGGCTACACTGGATGCAAGCCCTGTTCAGAACTGACTACGGAACTCAAGGGGCCGAAGTCGAAGCATCATGTTTATGCACAGGTTCTGCTTTCCGGCAGTCAGCTGTTGGGTCAATATTTGGTCAACATTGTCTCGCAGGGAGCTCAGAGGACTAAATCACTTGTCGCGACGAGTCAGAGCTTGCATACGTATAAGTGTGGCACCAGCAGCGAGAATGGAGAAGCACAGAGAAGGTGTCTCTGCGACCTCATCGTGAAGCGCCATGAGCAAGGTGCAGCATGCTCTTGGGTTCTGATTTCGGGCCCTTGAACCCTCAGATAGTCATCGCTAGCCTGCTCCAAGCAGCACCTGACAGACAGGAATCAATTCTCGATCATGTATGTCTTCAGATTCAGATGTGTGGCACCTCTCGAGTTTCCATAACTTGCCATCTCCATGGGCCGGGCTCGAGAAGCTAAAGTTATAGCTTCAGTACCATATCCAAACTTGCAATTTTAATGTTCAAAGTCGCATAGATCGAAATCAAACGCCTGAGTACATTTCTGGCTGCATGCCTGGGGTGAGGCGAGGACTACGGAATTATCATGCTGCCTGTCGGGCTCTGGGCTTGGAAAAAGTTGTCAAGATCTTGAGCTGAGTCTTCTGCAGCCCAATTCGAATGTGCTAGGAATCCTTGTAGTATCGTGCCCAGCCTGCCTACTAGCTACACACAGATGTGTATGTCTAAGTAGTGTCTAAGTTCACGCGGCCGGCGTTTGAGGTTTGTCAATGACATCCTCGAGCTGCGCATCTTGTTCTCCGAGCTCATGGAGGTGATGGCCAAGGACCACTACGAGCAGAGCCGGGGGCACAGTTCCAACAGCATGAACTTGATAGCCGCTCGCAAGATGCGACTTGACTGGAGCTTCGGTCGGTTTGCTCCGAATTTGGGTCTTTTCGGGGGATGCCCCCAAGCGGGTGACACCCCAACGTGCGGGAGCGACCCTTGCCCTGCAGAATCTGGCGGGGGCTCCATCGTGTGTGGGGAGAGCGTAAAACGATCAGATCCTGGTCTATTTGTTCCATGTTTGTTCCAGACGCCAGAGGCCGCGGCAAATTCCTAGCATCCACGTGGCCGGCATGTTGATCCCAGGTTGGGAATCCATTCCTCAGATTGCCATGCGGCTAAAGCCAGCAACTGTGATGGCCTCGGTTTGTGCTGCATCTGGGTTCGAACATGAGAGCATGCATCCAAGGCCGCCCTGTTTGACGTGATTCCTCGGGACGTTCAGTACGAAATCTGCTTCGGCGGCCGGGAGAGGTGTGGTGTTGCAAGTTTCTCTTGCTGCTTGCTGAGCATGCTTACGGCCTGCAACACACTTGGCTTGAAGCTTTCGCCAGCTTGCTCCATCAGCTTGCTACAGTAGCAATCCGCCAGACGGCAAGGTACATGAACAAGATTGATTTCTCCACGATTTCCACAGACCGCCTCTTACTTCGTTTCGTGCGGCGCTCGGACTCGCAAAAGCACCCTGTTGGGTTCACTGAGCATGCCGGAGCACTCCAGGTCGAACTGGAGCTGTACCGACGCCGACAGCTTGGCCACATATCCAAGGACGTTTTGCTTTTTACACGACTGTCCAGTGTACAGTCAATGGCAGGGGACAGGGCTAAGCAAGCTAGGCGCGTTGGAACTCAAGTGGTGCTTCATGGGTTGCTTACCACAGCACTGTGGCACTTCATGCTGATGTCGCACCAGCGTTTTGGCTGCACAAGCTAGCGTAGCCAGCCATGCCCCTCCCTAGAGCTTGCAATGCCCGAGCAGGCAGGGAAATGTCAAACATCCAGGTTGCCTGGCATGCCAGTAGCTCTCCGAGGATGACAAATGGTCTGCCGTGCCTCTTCTGGCACCAACAAGGACATGCTGTGAATGCTCCAAAGTGAGCGTTGATATTGATGAGCGCCAGACTTGGATGCGCTGAGCATGGCGAGCGCAAGTGACGTATGTTTTGGGCTGTGCCATCGGCTACAACCTTGTGAGGTGCACATCCCAGGGACCACGTCGAAGTGCATCTGAAGCGTTTGCACTCTCGTGGTTGAAGGACCTATCAGCTTCTGTTTTTTTCATGTCAGCCTAGAGGACGGGCTGGTGGTGAAGCGCATGCGCAGGATGAAGCCTCGGACGAGGACATCGCCAGAGCTCTGACGCAGTTGCTGCTTGCCAGACCGGAAGTAGAATCCACGGTGTGCCTTGGCTGGCAACATGTGTCAAGACCACTTCAAGCAGAACTGAGATTTGGCGCATTCAATTTTAGAAGATCCTTTCTTGAGGCTGGCCGTCCTGAATTGCGTCTCTGCCATTCCGGGTGAGTTTGGCAGAAGGGCGCGTGGGAGCCTCGTCGATCCGCCAGAGATCCTTGATCTTCCGGAGGCATCCCAGAGCATTCCAAAGACAAGCAACTGCACTTGCCCGTGAAGAATTTATTTGTCGGAAGGTGCCCCGGGACATCCCCATACTGCATCAGCCAAGGCCAGGGCCGCTCAGAGGTTGAGAAGCATAACGCTGAAATTCGCAGCCATACTGCCTCAGGCTGCGTTTCGCGGCATGCAGTTACTTTGTGGGCGAGGAGGAGCTGAAGGTTGACATCCAGGCATCTCTCCTACAAGCAAAGGACAGAACGGAGAATCGGAAGCAAATCTTTTCAGGTGTTGCGATCTGGTAATGTGGACTGCGAGCTCGGGACTCGGATGGCAAGTTAACTGGTCGATCCCGTGACTGCCAGCCCGTCTTTGCACAGGTCAAGAGTGCAAATGTACACAAGGGATTTATCTGCAAAGGCCAGGCCTGCACCAGAGGTGATGAGTGAAAAGCTATGCTTGGAACTTCTCGCACCTGCTTCAGGTAGAAAGTCTGATTGTCTGCAAACGCTTGTCGCAGTTTGTTTGACAGTCAGAGGACAGTTCGAAGAAATGCTTTGGAGCGGCCACGCAAAGCAGGTCTGGACAGGGAAGCTACAAAAACACATGCCAATTCCAGCCATTGGCACGGCTTTGCACCACAAGTAGCTGAGGAACCCCACAGCCCCTTAGATGGGTGGAAGGTGCAAATGCGAATGCCAAAGCCGCTAAGCAGAGCATCTCCGAGCTCAGAGCATCCGAAAGTGAGCGAAAGTCCAAAGAGGCCGAAACTCGGTTTCATTTCTCAGTTGCCTGGTCCACTACGCAGACATCCCTCAAGGAAAGCGTTTGTGGTCCTTGCGAGCCTGACATTTCGACTGCCACTTTGACCGTCCAGCGACTCTGCCATAAGAAGGAAATGCGAGGCTAGCTTAGCGTGAGCCTCCTGGAGCCGCAAGAGGCGGTGTGTCACGCGCGAAGTTGTTTAGGCCTGCGTGTGGCGCATTTGGAACTTTGATGCAACCTCGTTCTTGTTGAAGCACGCACTTGTTTCTAGCGTCAGAACTGCAGTCAACGCGTACCATACTTGAGCAGCCGCTGATTTAGGACGGTCTTGTCTAAGTGAGGAAAGGCCCGCCCTAGGCTCCTGAAAGATTCTTAGCTGGTTCTATCCCGCGTGCTTAGATTAAGGAATTCCTGGAAATGGAGTTTTTTCAATATTTTTTCTGAAAGCTTCTCTTCCCTTCTTCTTGAAAGACACATCCTGAACAAAGCTTTTGCTGAAAAGCTATGGAGAAGCCCGAGGCATACTTCACTAGCCGTCACTAGCCTGATGAAAGCTTTTTGGTGCATTCCTCTGCATCATGGCCGAACTTTCCTCAAAGCTCGGTCTTGGTTTTGGCGTTGTGGCAGCGTGCGCCCATACGTCTGCTGTCACAGCAGCTCCCTGCCGCACCACAAAAACTTGTCCCCAAAGTTTTCAGACACAGAAGCAACTTCATATGGCTTAAACTCTGGTTATATCGGACAGCTTTTGCCTTGTGTCAAGCGTCTGGCGGATACCAGGCAATTGCTGGAGTGCGAATGTTTCTCGCGCATCCAATCATTTGCACGGGGCAAGCGTGAAGCTGCCACCTGCTGTTGACTTGGAATATGCGTCATGCAGGCGGGCATTAACTATGTGCACACGAGCAAAATGCATCGGCCTCGGGTTTGGTCCATTCTTGCTCTCAACCCGCCTGGCAGTGCCAAGGCTTGTTTTCGAGCCACAAGCAGAGAACATCCTTCTGAGCGTAGAATTGATTGTGCTGAGCTGAGCAATGCTGAGCTTGTTGAGTGGGCGTGGAGTAGAGTTTGGTAGAGATATCTCTATGAAAGAGCTTTTTTAGGCGAGTGATGAATGGTCGCCGACACTGGAGTTTGAGGCCATGCCCTTGCCATGCCCTTGCTGGAGTTTGCCGTGCTGCTTTGTAGGTTGTACTGGATCCAGCAACGGTGACAAACGCAGAGTTGGATGCGTACGGGGCCCGATCCCGTGTCAAGATAGATGACAAGGACGATGTTGAAGCTGTGGAGACCTTGGCCATCTGCAGCTGTATCACGTTCACTCGAATGAGTGTCAGGATTCCTTTCCCTCCAACGTTGTGGATGTGCGAGAGCTTTCCAAGAGTTTGTCCTGGGAGCATTTGAGGTCCAGCCTGTTGCCGTCGGGGTTCCAACGAGTCAGTGCCAGCTCCTGTGTTCTTGCATACAGGCAGGCCCTCGAGAATGCTCCATTGCTGGTTTTGATGGCCGAGTATCTGAAGCTCAACTTTCGGAATGAGATCGTGCGAAGAGGCATCTGGCAAGCAACGACCGCCCCGCTTATTGCAACCACGTCTTTTGTGTGAGTTCGCAGCGCGAACCGGCTTGATAGGCACAATGAAGATGTGCTTGCAGGGCCAGTGCCATCATTTGTATGGCATTCTCAGGCACCGCTTGGGGCCATTGATCATAAGCTTGAAGCTCCTGCTCCATGTTGCTTCAGGCTTTTCCTCAGCGTGCTCCTAGTGGACAGGGTCTTGAAGGGTGCTGAGGAGGACTGGGTTACTGGGCCAACTGAGTCCTACACCGAGTGGTTGTTCCACAGCCGTTCAGTGCTCAGTTTTTTCAATCTGACCCAGTCAGGAAGCCAACGCACCGTCAAACTAAGCGTTTAAGCGATGCTTCGGCAACTTTCCCACGTCTTGCTAGTGTCCGCTGACTTGCCTGAGGCTCCGGGATGCTTGCGCTTGTGATGGGTGGTATGCTGATTCCATTTGCTGGCCTCCACTACCTCGATTACATATCAATGACTTGGAGGGTAGGCTGGAGACTCGCATTATTGCTTGCAGCAGTGGAAGTGAAGGAGTCTGACAGGCGGAACTTCGCGGGCGCAGCTTCTCTCGGCTCTTGTTCGGAGACTCCTTCATTATGATGTTTCTGCGAGGCCTGGTCCGGGACTTGTGTTCACTTTTGTCATTGCTGGCACGTTCACGGAAATGCCTACGTAACTGTGACGTTAAACAGAGTCAACCTGCTGCAGGAGGCATGCGTTTGTCTGTTTGTTCGGAAGAGAATAATGCAATCTACTTCTGAAGATCGCGCATAGGTATCGCATGCCGTGTGAGGGAAGGGTGTCCATGAGATGCACCACAACATGGGAAGACTGTACAGGTTAGGCCGACTACCAAACAGGCAAAACACGCCCATCGACTCTGGTGGCCATCCGTCTGTGACCATCCGTGGGCCCTCACGATGTCACCCACCCCAAAACCTGATAGGATCCGCGAACCCGAATGCAGACACGTGACTCGTACGTTGAAAATGTAATAACACCCCATGCGCGACACCAATCAGGAAACTTAGGTCTGGGGTCATCCTCTCTCTTCTCCCCTCTCCCTGCTCTACTCTCTCCTCTCTCTTCTCTCCTCTTTCCTCTCTCCTCTCTCTTCTCTTCTCTCTCTCTCTCTCTCTTCCCTCCTCTCTCCTCTCCTCTCTCTCCTCTCTCTCCTTTCCTCTCTCCTCTCCGCTCTCTCTTCTCTCCTCTTTCCTCTCTTCTCCTCTCTCCTCT